CGCTTGTTTCACATGGCATGTTGGAAAAGACTCACTGCCCCATTCATACTCACGGCCAGGCCAATGACTATTATATATATTTTGGCTCTGCTTAATGTTGAGCGTGGCTCCGTGGTTGAACGGTCTAGCTTCCTGCATAGATCTTGTTCTGGGGTTCGATTCCCGATGTGACCACTTACACCAGGCCGTAAAGAATGATACGGGCACGGGACTTTTTGTGGGTTTACCCATCGCGCGCGGGTCGTCACTTGCATGTCTTCTATGTACCTCTAATAAACGTAGTCGTGGCGACTCTGAGCAGTGTTACTGTTCACACATCGGGTATGATGTGCCCCCCGTACGGGCGTGTGGCAGGGGAGGGGCCGTTCCTTTTACTTCTCCGAGCTTGCTGTTAGGGTTTTGAGGGTTCAGTCCAAGACCTTCGCGTTAAGTGCCTGGTAAGGGCTTGTATTGCACGATAGCAGGTACCATAGACGCAGAGAGAGGTAGAGAAAGTAAGAGAAAGATAGCTAGGTTGTTTGGAGGGCGGGTTGCACTGGATCTAAATGGATTAAATCGTAAAGGAAAGTGTGCTAGGGAAAAGGAGTCCGTGTTCTCAGTCCTTATATAGAGTCCAGGTAAGTGACTACAGTATTCTAGTGAGTTTCAGTAGATACAGAGTCATTTTGCAGGCGCATTCATACAGTACCGAGGCAAATGAACCGTAGGTTCACGCTAGGGCAGCTCGACGTCGCGCAGTTGCGCGGTTCGGTCGTGGGAAGGATCCCCGAGGCCAGCCCGGGGTGGCGCGGCGCGCAGTGCGCGCGTCCTCACTCCCGCACATTCACTACCCTTCCGATAAGCGCCACACCCTTCGATACGGATCCTTCGCAGCTGACCCCGGGGTCATCGAAGCCAGACACAAAACCCTTACACTTGCACTGTCCACGCAACGATCGTTCGGCGGTTGCGGTGGAGGATGGGAAGTGCCGTTGGCTCGTTGAGACGATGCCAGATTGGTAGCTCATATGATATCCACACGTTCGTTGAACCTCATCTTCTCCTCGCCGGCAGTGTATATTATGAAGGCGCAACCTCGTTGGCTCGGTGGACATCGAAGAGACCAAGTTTAGCGATGTCAGACACGAGTGTACTGGCCGGTATGCAATACGCACGGCAACAACTTGTGCGACGCCGTAGGCGCCGCCTAACAAATGTAGAGCAGTTCCTCGAAGTACGTCTCCTAGTCTGAACTTGAGCTCCTCTCTGGCTTCCTCCAGCGTTCGCGCGACGCTGACATTCAACTCGTGTGCAACCTGCGCAGCAGCTTGTGTCATGCTCTCGTTGAAGCCGGCGATACCTGTTCGCAAGGAGATGGCCAGATCTGAGGTCAGCTGCGCGAGTGCGAGGTGCTCACTATGAGTTGAGCGAGTGAGGGTGAGGTTCGATTCTGCCACAGTTGCAAGTGATTGGCCTGTCTGCGTCGAAGTCAGCTTCTGCGTGTGAAGAAACGATCTCCACCTACCTCGAGCGCAGAGGATAAGTTCCCGTCCAGTTCTCCCAAGCGGTCTCCAAGAACTTTTGTACGACTGAACAGCGGGGACAGGATCTCGGATCCGAGACGCGCCGTCACTTCAGATAACAGCTCATCAGGAAGCTCAGACAGACGAGATACGACTTGGGCGATGACCGCTTGTGCTGCATCAGCGAGACGTATCTCATGCTCTGTGACTGCACGAGCGATCTCGTCTTCCGCACGCCGTTGAACGAGTTCAGTCGAAGCTTGGGCCGAAGCTTGTGTCTGTAACGAAATGATGCACTTAGTACTGAAGGAAGCGGGAAGGGGAAGACGTGCATACATCGGCTATGGCCTGAAGCTGAGCGGCGCTCAGGTTCGCCATGAGGTCAAGCTGTTCCTCACGCCAAGCAGCATTACTCGCGTTGGCGTGCTTAAGAGCCGCCTCTTGCTGACGCATTGCAAACTGAAGCATGTCGAGTGAGAGCTCTTCATTCATGAAGTCGGATCAGCGAGACATGACGTGGATAGGACTCAGCATACACACCGGTGATGTGACTACGACGATAGGCGTCACATAGCTGAGCTGCGAAGGACAGATGAGCTTGCGCGACACTGGAT